AAGATGCCTAGGGCCCCTTAACCCAGTTTAGCTTAAAGAGAAGAAAGTTTCTTACTTTAATAGCTAAGGGAGTGTCCTATTCTTCCTTGGCTGCTCTCAACACATCTCACTTAATTTTAAAAGTAATAGTGGAGAATTTTAGCCGTTACCTCCTAGGGCAGGCACGTTGACTATTAAATCTACCTATTACTGGTATCTTATTTTTGGGTATGCGGACTCAACATTTATTCACACCAGAGAATATCCAAAACTTTCCAGTAAACACCGATTCTCACCCCTGAATCTAGACGTATCCACACACTACATCTTACAGCAAGTCTACCCTCTAAATCCCCTCCACCTGATCCGCCCAACTCTTCTTCTCTCCACTGCCCTGCTCCTCCTTCTCCACACCTGTCCCCTTCGTTCGAATCGGGAAGGCCAACTCCTTAGGAATGCCCACATCCTTAGACGCAGCGCTCGTTGGCGCTGGTAAGTCCGGAAAATCGGCTTCAGTGGGCGGGTTCTGGGGTTTACCGGGTTCGACGCGTTGACTTCCACCGCGACCACCACGACTTCCGCGATTACCGCGACCGCGGTATCCTCCGCGCTGTGCTGGCGGTGGACTATCGACATCCTCGCCCTGCCTGGGGGCCTCATCCGGAGCGCCAGCGCTAGGCTTTGGGCTTGAAACAACTCCACCATAAGCACCACGCGCAGCCCCCCTCCTCCTCTCCTCTCCCGTCCCACTAAACCCCTCTTCCTTCTCAAAATCCCACTCCCTCCCCTTAACCGCCTCCAACTTCCTCAAGCGATTTCTTTCCCGCTCCCCCATCATCTGCTGTCTATTCTGTCTCTCTGCTCTCTGTCTCTCCCTCATCTTCTCGGCATTCTGCCTCTTCTTCTCTTCGCTGAGCTGCGCGGCGAGGGCTTCGCGCGCTTCGAAATTGGCAGCGTCACGCTCGGCGCGGGCATGTGCGGCTTCGCGAGAGCTGTTTTTGGACTTTATAGAGGCAATGCGGGCTTCGAGTTCGGCGTCGGTAAGGCGTGTGCGGGCGTTGCCGCCAGTGAGGGTGCGGTCGCCGCGGACCGAGGGGACGAGTTTGGGGGTAGTGGGAGCAGCAGAGTCTGCTTCGGCTGAGGTCGTTGTGGCGCTTTCGGCTTGTGTGTTGTCTGTTGGTGCGGTCTGTTCACGTCCAGAGTGTGCGCCACCTCGTCGGCCACCGCGACCACGACCTCGGTTTCCTCCGCGGGGTTCTCGGTGGCCGTTTGAGGTGCGGATGGTGGTTGATGGGGACTTTTCTGAGGCTGCGAGGGGCGGTTCAGGTTCGGGGAGCTCGACGGTAGCTTGTTCGACGACAGGTTCGGCGACGGGGATGATGTCGTCGTCGAAGAAGAGGTCATCCGTGCTCGCGGTTTGGGCGAACCCCTCCATAGTGTTGTAGTCGTACGGTGCCATATTGTCGTAGTCATACTACAGTTTAAATCCCTGTTAAAATTACAGATAAAAGCGAAGCAGGTATTGAAGGTGCTTACAGATGGTGCAGTACTCGGCTCTACCGGCGCGGGTTCCTCAATATGAATTGAAGAAGTAGGCTCCGACGCGTCGCCTCCCGGAGCTGGCTTTGTTAACTGTTGTTCCGCAGGTTGGGAAGTTTCTGCATGTGGTGAAAGGTGTCCAGTAGCTGGTGGTGGGGGATCCTCCACAGGTGGTTTTGGGGCCCATCGCGAGGCGTTCATGTTGGGCGGTGTAGGTGGTAATGAGGGGTAGAGAAATAATATATACGAATGTAGCAAAACAATATACAAGCGGTATCGAATGGAGTAGTGGTAATGTTAAGAGATGTGTGGTTATGGTGTTGAGTGAAGGTTGGAGTGAAGGTTGATGTGCAGGTGCCCAAGCTCGAGTAACTCAAATCACGCTAAACGGAATTAGAAATGCGGTCAGCACTGAACCTCGACACCACGACTTCCATCTCAACTTTCACACATGCTGACATCATCCGTCAAAGAGAGAGCGGTGTGCTATTTAAATCAAAAACTATAAATTGCCCTTGCTTATAACCGATTAACAGCCCCCTATACTTCAGCTATACGTGCTAAAGTGTCCATTTACTGTATTTCCGAAGCAGACCTTTTACAGAAGACCAGAATGAACAAAAGCAAGTATTCACTATTTGTTCAAGCGCAAAGCCCCACCGAAGCCTCCTATAGCAACCCTTCGAGCTAAGGGGAACATTACCCCCATCCTCTGCGTGTGGATAGGCAAGAAACCTCGGAAACCACGCCATCGCCCCAAAGTACGGCACCGCTTTCCGCGCCATAGCCTTCTTAACCCCCCTCCGAATCTCCACCAAGGTGCGCGCAACAGAAGCTAAAGCCCGGAGATTCTACTCGTTCAATGCTGCAGTATGGATTGTACAGGCTCGAGAGAGGACAAGTATCGGAAGAAGCTAGGGTGTCTTGGTGTTTGTGGATATAGGTTGGTAGGCGCAGGTTACACAGCTCGTAGGCCTCTAAGCGACGACGTCGAGAAACATGTATCCGTAAACCTTATCCCTTAGCTCATGAGGAGCTTCGGGCGAAGCTGCGGGACGAATTGCGTGTACCATTCCTGGGTGTATGATCCTATGGATCTTTCGGTTTCGCCGTGGAGAGAGGGGAGCCAAATGTTTGAGGTGTGGTTGAACAATATGCATGGAAGCCAGCATGCGTAAATTCTGGGAGCTTGATGTTGGCGCATATGGCCGCAGTGTTATTCAAGGAGCAGATTTCTCTGAGTGATGATTTGCTGGCTTTGTTGCTGTAAACTGTAGAGCTGTGTATCAATGATGTTTGTTGTGCGGATGGAAGATGTACGTACTCGCGGAGCCACTGTTTCTGAGGGGTCTGAGGGTTTCATCCTGCGTTCCAAGAAGGGAGGAGAAGAACAAATGGGGCCTTGAGAAGTTATATGGCAGGAAGGGACAGAATAGACAGCTGCTTGGAAGATGGGGAATGGGAATGGAGTTGTTGCACAGCAGGACACAGCACGCAAGGGACCGCAAGATGCAGTAGACACTAGAACCATGGAGTAAGCACGGAAAATATTGGACGTATCTCTTTGTCTAATCATTCTGGGATAGATGAGTTATTCTTCTTCGGTCTGTTCAAGACCCCAAATTTACTTCTACTCGACTTATAACTACAGTAAGAAGATGTCAAAAAGTAGGCAAGTTAGATGGCATAGGAGTAAGTTCATTAAGTCCTACCACAAATTTTGTTCGTGCTAACCTCTTTAAAGCTTTACTTTCATTCCAGACTGCTCTTTTAACTCTTAACATGTCCAAAGGAAATATAATTTATTGCTCTCTGTCGTAGTTTGCAGAAGGATATCTTAACCAAGCTTTGAGTTTGCTTTCAATCATAATGTGGTAATACAGGACCGTCTTGTTGACTGTTTGGTTGACCATGAGGTCCGATAACTACGAAGTATATATATATGTGTTGAGTGTCAAGTCCGCGTAGATTTGCCCTAACCGTGTGTGTGCTCTAGGCGTACACATAAGGGGAAAATCAAACGAAAGTAAGTAAATTACATATCCAAAATGAAGAATAGATTTTTAGTATCTAGAAAAAATGTTGGCCTCCGTTCTTGACGGACTTATTCGTGCTTCTACTTGTTTCTTTCAACGCATCATACTAGCCTCCTCGCTTACCTACAACCATAGGCCACACTAAATAAGTGATTCAGCCTAAATTTTTTTCATAACAGAACCAATAACAGGGGCGGTAGCTCAGTGGTAGAGTGGAGGATTGCAGTTCTTAGCAACAGTTATCCTTAGGTCATGTGTTCGATCCACATTCGTCCCTTTATTTTTGGCTTCCATGGAGCGTTGATGCAAACGTGTTTGCTGCAGTTTTGCTGACGTATGGTTGTATTGACTTTTTTTTTTTATTGGTGAGGATTAAGACGCTTAGAAACCTTTGCACGTTGGAATACCTCTTTCTTTTTTATTCTCTACTATTATAACTTGAAGGCTTTCTTTCTGCAGCATTTACCCCTCTATGGCACATGTTCGCACAGTCGCCTGAGGTAGAAATAGCCCTGCGCCGTACCTGACTCTGTGAACTAGCGCAGGGACCCGAGAGGGGTCTTACACTTCGGTTTGGAGATGCGACTGAAATGTCAGATTTTAGGACATCGGAGGAGGCTAGAAGAGGTTTGGTGGTGATAAGGTACATAGATTAGCTGTAATACGTAGTGAGGAGGACTGCGGGGTTTATTGAAACCGGAGACCCAAGAGTTTTTGTTGGGTTTTGTTCAGGCTTTATGAGCATGGGGGAGATAAGGCTATAAGGTGAAACGTTTCATTTCAAATAAAAAGAATTCCCTGTGCATCTTCATAGAAGAGATTTTCTATCCGCCAGAGATACCGAACCTTTTTACAGAGATACCTACCGTTAATATCTAAAGACATCAATGATCTCAAGACGCTCGACCTGGCCTAGGTACTGATCTCCCCCACATCCATCTCTCGCCCTAAATCGTGCTTTGATACTACCGAAATAGCCTAGTATTATTTTTACCACAGAATCGTATCATGAAGATCGGAGCGAAGACAGATTTGTATAAAGCTTTGGTCTGGACTGCGACTTAGATCATTCAGCCATTTGGAAAGGAGGGTTGCCCGGTCCGATACCAAAGAAAGCACGTGCCAAGAAAATCTCAGGGAAAACTTAGAATTAGCAGTGCGCCCACCTGAAAATCATCATGATCAACATGGGAGAGTGTTTGTTTCAACGACAACTCATCAATAACATGGCCCAATCCACTGTAGAGTGACAAACAACGACACAATTGATAAGTTAACATATAGGTGAGATGTAGAGAGGTAGGTAGGCATTGAGTTCCTTTCTTCTTTCCTTTCGTCTCTCCTCAGTTTCAAGCCGAGTGTTCCGCGTCCAAGATATTTTCTTCGCCTGGATATTCCCAGATGCGTTCTTCCTCCGTTGCCCCACAGAATTACGATGCGCTTCCAGCATGAGCACCCCTGTGGCAATCTTGCCTCTCATTTTGGCGCAATCACCCCATGCGATTGGTGGTTGTCTCATCTCCTTCGATGCATCGAACGTATCGTATTTATTCGGCCCTATATGAGAATCGAGCACTGATGCCATGTCCTCGGCTCTCCTTCCGTTGTCAAGACTAGTCATCTTCTTTTCTCCTCATGCCGCTATCATCGTTTCGCATGCGTGCCATGGCATCCATGCCCAGAGTTTGCCAGTGCGCCCCCATGAATCGTTTCGTCTCCCTGGGGGCACTTATGAAGCGAACTTCCAATTTAGAGTTCGGGACCGCGTTGTTTAAGCGGAGCTGACCGCGAGCGATTTGCGGCGAAGTGAGGCATCTGTGGCTTTAAGCAAGCGTCTCTTCTCACATTCTTGCAAATCTCTTCCTCTTTTTGGGGTTTCTGGGGATCGAGGTCCCTATTGCTGCAATGACGTTCACTATGAGGCAGCTGGCTAGCCTTATTGTTATTCTTTCGATATTTCTTCCATTCGTTGCGGCTCAAAGGTCGTTGGAGAGTGCTCTTACGGAACTTCCAGCTTGTGCAGTACGTAAGGCCATTTTAACACCTACGGGGTATCGAGAATGGATATACTGACAGATATCTAGCTGAAATGCCTATCGAGCGGGATATCTCAGTCACCCTGTGCCGTTACCGACGAGACATGTATCTGCAGCAATCAGCATCTTATGGACACTGTGACCAGCTGTGTCAAGAAAGCATGCACAGTTAAGCAGAGCCTTAGTAAGTAGATGCCATCGAGGGCAATATGTTCATGTCCTAATGCAATATCTTCCCCAGTCACTAAAAACCTCACTGCGACCACATGTGGTGCTCCAATACGAGACCGCTCCGGCGTCTATAACACCACATCCGTAGTTCTCGGTGTCATCTCCGCCATCTGCGTTTTTCTTAGATTAGTCTATAAGTTGGCCTTCACGGTGACGGAACTTGGATGGGACGACTGTTTTATCGTGGTTACGCTCTTTGTTGGCATACCCAGCACCATCATGAATGTGCAGTTGGCGACACCGAACGGACTAGGTAAAGATATATGGACCCTTCCCTATTTCAAAGTCACCAACTTCCTCGAGACTCTCTACGTCATGGAAGTCCTATACTTCGCGCAAGTACCCCTACTCAAATTATCACTCCTCTTTTTCTACCAGCGGATCTTCCCAGGGAGGCCTGTACGGCGGCTTATCTGGGCTACCATTGCCTTGAACAGCCTATACGGAGTTGTTTTCATCATAGTTGCTATCTTCCAGTGTCAACCTATTAGTTTTTACTGGACTTCGTGGGATGGGGAACACACTGGACAATGCATCAACATCAACGCCTTAAGCTGGGCCAACGCCGTCATTAGCATTGTTCTGGACATCTGGATGTTGGCTATACCACTATCCCAGCTCATCCACCTAAAGTTGGCATGGAAAAAGAAGGTGCAAGTTTCGATGATGTTCTGCACAGGAATCTTGTAAGTCTTTCCTTGACAACATTGACTCGCGATACGCCCATTGCATTTTGCTAACAATTTTCTCCCAGCGTCACAATCGTCAGCATCCTCCGCCTCCAATCCCTCGTCCACTTCGGCAAATCCACAAACCCCACCTGGGACCAATATTCCGTGATGCTCTGGTCCACCGTCGAAATCAACGTCGGCATTATGTGCGCCTGCATGCCCGCCATCCGCGTCATGCTCGTCCGCATCTTCCCCACCTTCCTCGGCAGCTCACGACACGCCACAGAACCCACGGGCGACGCTTATTATGCCCAAAAATCCCAACAATACGGATCACGAAGCCGAGGGACCCTGAATCGACTGAGTCGGCTTGGGCCGCTTGGGATGGGAAGAAAGCAGGGAGGGTTGAAGGTGCTGAAGGGTAGGAAGGATGATAGTATGGGCGGTATTTTGGTTAGCAAGGATATTGAGGTTGAGCATGAAGATTATGATGATGTTCGGTTGGTCAAGGTGGGGGTTAGTTCTGCAGGGAGTCCGAATTTGAGTCGGGAGCCGAGTTCGAAGGGGGTGAGTAGCCGGGAGGAGTCGGGTGAGGGCTATATACAATAGGGAGAACTCGATTTTTCATCTGTAATGAGTCCATGATGTTCGATTTTCTTAATGGGAGCCCCTAAGACGATGAAGTTGATCACGTGGTTTGTTATAGCTAGACCTGCATAACTGTGCGGCCTAACGAAAACTCTCAATTCTTTTCACATTAGAGAGAAATAAGCATGTAATTGATTCCCCGAATAGAAAATGCTCCTAGAAATTAGAATACGGGCGCTCTACTCTAAATCCTTATCCAAAAGAGGAAAGGCCGAGGTTCTCCACCGTCCCCGCTTCCCCGCAAACTCCATGAATATCTATCTTTGTCTACATCGTCAATCATCCCGAAACTGCGCATCATAGGATATTCAGGGCTGAATCTTACCGTAGGAAATATCTCTTTATATATCTTCTATAAAGTCGTATACACAAGGTGCACCCCCGTACGTACTATAAACTCAGAGCTCGGCCGCGGAAGCTGTGAATCATCCACACTCCAGCCCTCTCCATCCTTCTCCCACACCTTTTACCGAGTGCACTCATATCATGTAGAATACTCCTTCAACCCTTTCAAAACCCAACTCACTTCCATCTATCATCCAAAATCAGACCATTGTCTACTCGAACCCGTCCCTAGCCCCAACTCCGTACCTTCACACCTCAACCACATCGAATATGGGAGCATTCTACGAGACCATACCAAACTCTCTGAAATCATGGATTTTGAACCAAAAGATGCTCTGGGTCGCTACGGCCCCCTTGTCAGCACAAGGCCATATAAATATCTCCCCAAAGGGCGGCCAGCATTTTGGAATATTGGACGAGCGCACGTTTTGGTTCATGGACCTCTCCGGCTCCGGCATAGAAACCACCGCCCATCTAAACGAGCCTGGTAACGGGAGAATCTGCGTCATGTTCCAGGCGATGGAGGGACCGCCAAGGATTGTGCGGATATGGGGCGTCGGCACCGCCCTCGAGTCCGGCACTCCCGAATACTCCTCCTTCGTCAAGGAACACAATGTTAAGACGCTGTACCACTCGCGCAGTATTATCGTTGTGGATATCCACCAGGTCGGCAGTTCCTGCGGTTTTTCAGTGCCGTTTTATGAGTTTAAGGGGTGGAGGAATACGCTGGATGAGGTTTTTGAGAAAAAGAAGAAGAAATACGAGGAAGGAAAAGAAGAGGAGAGTATGGAGAGGTATTGGGCATGGAAGAGTCAGGCGAGTATTGATGGGCTGCCGGGGATGCGGAGGGGGATGGAGGTTGCGAAACGGGAGGGGGTAGCGCCGTTGAAGAAGATGGTGGGAGCCTGGGCGGTGGAGAATAGGCAGAGGCTGCGAAGGGAGGGGAGGAGGGTGGATGGGGTGTATTTGCTGGTGGTGGGGTTGCTAGGGGTGGTGATTGGGATGGTGGTGGTGGCTATGGGGGTTGAACCGGAGACGGTGGGGTTGGTGCAGGAGAGACTGAGAGTATTTCAGTGGCTGGGATAGAATGTGTGGTAAAATCAAAGTATTTATTCTTTTGTGGAGCTATGGGGTTGGAGCTGGGGTGTCATTTTCTTCACATCTATGAAGCTCCATGAGAGGATAGAATAACAGAAACGAGCAGTCTTTATAGATTGATCGGTGGATTGCAATTAAGGATTGAGGATTAGAGACTTGGAGACGTTTCTGGGAAAGTGGGATAGGTATTGATCATATTCACTCATACTCCTTTAGGCCAGTATCCACGAGAAACACTTTTTTTTCAA